GTTCAGTGTTCTGTCCCTCTCGACCCCCAGCGGGGTCTGTTTACATGACGTATGTATCTCATGCAGTCAAGAGCAGGAGGTGCTTGTTGGAAAGAGCAAGAGCACCAACACACGTGGCACACATGACCTCCATACTCCATAAACCGTCACATCATGACAACACAACCTTTGAACACAGATAACTCAACAATCACAACTTGGATTACAATTTGGAGAAGTGCGTTTGATTTCCACTGTGCTGTTCTATGTATTCAGCCCTTAAATGCAAAACTTTTTTCCTTAAAGTTCTTCTAACCCTTACCCCAGAACCAACCTTCAATTGAGTTACTAACAAAACCGGTAACGTAGTTCACAAGCAAGCGGCGCACCCAAGCAAGCGGCGCAACATTGCAACTGTCCTGAATGCGCAGCGCTACAACGCAACACTACAACACGTAATTATGCTGTGTGCAACAGTATAATATTATTTTGAACTGTTGCTATCATCTGCATCCTCTATCTCTACCTTGCAGGTGCGGGAGTTGTGCCCAATCTTGCCACAACGGCCGCAGTGTTGCTCTGCACTCACCTTCTTTGCAGGCTTCTTACCGTCATCACGACTACCACCTTCCTTTGCAGCAATTATCTCAGTTACCACTCCAACTGTTAAGGTCTCCTCAGTACGTATATAACGCCTTTTACGTGTCTTGCACTTTGTGGCTGCCTCAACAGTGTCTTGCAGGCACGCTGTTTCTTTGCGCATCAACACCATCTCATGTGCTATCTGCTGAGCACCTTTAGTAAGCTGCCTGACCTGCTCATCAATTGAACTTGCTGGAGACCCCCAATATTTTTGCATGCGATTTTGAAGTAGCGTTGACTGCGCCTCCATCTCCCGGGCATTGTGCGGTGTCTTCGCCTCCCAGGCAACGTTGTCTTGATGTGGTGGAGTTGGCGTATGCTGCTTTACATCAAGCCTTGACAATACAGCGTCCAGGTTGAATGGGACTAGCCCTGCACTCTGAAACCCTGCACAGATGTTCTCCTTTGTAATTGCCTTGCTAAAAGCTGCTTTAAAGGCTGGTAGGAATGTGTCTTTGCTGATATGGTTAATACGACCTTGTGCCAAGCCTGAAATAGCGTCACTATATGCGTGCTTCAATGGCAAGAAGCAGGCAACGTCAAGGGGCTGGAGCAGGTGCGATGAGTGTGAAGACATACAGAGTGTGATAATGTTCCTCTCCTTGCAGCGATCTTGGAAATCAAGCAAGCAGTGGCTCTCATGGCTGTCGATAATGAGCAGTTGGTACCCTCCTACAGTGTATTGCTTTGAATGCGTGTCGAAGTGGTCTAGCCAGGCAAGCGCAAGCTGGTTGTTGATCCAGCCATTAGGGCTAACCTCAAGGATCCACTTGTGAGGCAGATTATCAAACCAGGATGAGATGAGAACCTTTCCAGCAAAGATAACAAAGGGTGGGATAATGCGCCCCATTGCACTGACGCCTTGGACCACAGTAACCCACTCACAATCGCCAGGTTGTATCCTCTTCTGTTTACCAGATCCCTCTGAGCTTGTGATAACAAGTTGTGACGATATCTTGCCCATTGTAAACCCAGTCTCATCAAAGTTGTATGTATCTTCATCCTGGATGCCATACTTCTCCTTTACAGACTGAACAAGGTTGAACCACGGCTTGATAATTGCTGGGTCCTCGCAGGCAGCTCGCTGGTGATCTTATGGACGGCTCCATTGAGTTTTGAGCGCAGGCGTACGCTTAACAAAGTTGTCAACCCAGTTCTTGCCAACAGGCTTCTCTCCGCGCTCTCTTAGCAATCTATTAGCCATATCTTGCACATTTGGCTTTAACGGCGGTAGTCTCCGTAAGGATTGCTCAAGTATATGCTCCACAATCGCCTCCTCTTCTAGCTTTGTCAAATGCTTTGAATTCGGCTCGCAGTCGCGTTAAGGGTGCTTTTCGTTGCATCGCCGTCGGATTGTTGTTAGAGGGACTTTGTAGATCTCTTGCGCGCGTTGGAGAGATTTTACTTGCTTAGATTGATAGTTGGTAACAGCAAGATATACATCACTCTCAGTATAGGTGCGCAGGGCTTTGCGTTGTTGAGACATTACGTGTAGTTGTTGGGCAGTTGTAATCTTGGTAATGTTGCGCCGCTCGCTTGGGTGCGCCGCTCGCTTGTGAACAAAATGGTACATTATAACATACCATTTACCCATCTGGATAGAACAAAAGGGGGCGGAACACGCCACAAGCCACATGCAATGTGGTAACTCCCAGTAGATGAACGAATTTCTGATGCGGGTGTCATAGACAGAGCAGCAACACCAATACTGTCTCGATCAGGGAATAGACTCGGTTCAAGAGCCAATGCTATGCGCAACCCGCTCGCGCTCGACACAATTTTGAGGTGGCGGGGCGGCGCATGGCAGCTTCGCCCGGCAAATCACGCTTCCCTACATCGAACGCCGTGCGCACGGTATGCAACAGACGCTCCATAGCCGGCTTGAAGGCTCGAGACGTCCCGCGCGAGAGCGACGAAGCCGCCGTGTTCGGCGCTCCAAGAGCGAGATACGAACGCTGCTGGTCTAACAGCCAGTTTGCGATAAGCTGAGGGATAGTGCGACATCGCTAGCAGATTGACTCACAAGAAAACGATGGAAATTTCCTACATGGCAGAAATTCCTTGAGCAGCTCGCCTGACGCGCTTGGTTTTTGAGAACTTGGGGCAGATAGTATTAATCAAGAGCACGACGGCAACAGTATGCGCTATAAATGGGACTACGCGACGCGACACTCAGCACGCAGCTTCTGCCGTACGCTGCTTGATGCAGGTGATTTTGAATCGATCAATAGCCGTTATGAATCTGCATGAAGCTACGATCAGAGCAAATATCAAGACTCAAAACCCAAATCAGAAATAGACAGGCATCAGCTTGCTGATGGAGCTAGATCCTGAATCTTCAACGGAAACAAGGCAGACAATCACGTATGGCTACCACAATTTCGTTTTGCATCAGCGCGGCGCCACACTAGTCCCGTTGCTCTGATACTTAAGATATCTGCCCAATCTGCTTCCACTATTAGGCGCCCTGCTATTCGCTACTAGTGAGTTTCAAACCTTGTATACCCTTTGGCATTGGTCCTCAGGCGATATTACAATGCGATTGTTCATCGCTTCGAAACACTTGGTACGCCAATCAAGCTAGGTCGCGCCGATGACCTTGAAAAGAAATGAAAACGAAAGACGCAAGATCAGGTATCATTTGGTCTCCTTGAAAACCAGACCCATTTGCACTATTCGTAAGCATACGAGATTAGCTGTCGGAGGAGCTGAGCTGCTGCGTCCATAAGAGATCGACTCTTCTCACACCCAAAACGGCGTATGAGTGTATGTGCATGCTCACCTGCATCCCATGATGTCGATTTATTTGGGACAGCTGTATCCCGGAACGAAGCTTGCTCCAAGGACGATCAGATTGGTAGCCATCAAGCCAGGAGTGTTCGGCGATCCTATATCTTGCACCCTCGAGACAGTCAGTCTGGACGACCATCCACACTACAGAGCCTTGTCGTATACTTGGGGTGATACCAGGCACAAAAGACATATTTCATTGAACGGCAACTTATTTGTCGTTAATCAGGATTTGCACGCCGCCCTGAGAAGACTTCGACATGAACAAAAATGGCAGACTTACTGGATAGACATGCTTTGCATCAACCAAGCAGACTTCGACGAACGTTCTGAGCAGGTGGTCCTTATGCCAAAAATCTATTCCAAGGCGAAGCAGGTGGTCTTTTGGCTTGCAGACACCACAAATGACACAACAGATAATAAGATGGTGCGGACTCATCCATTCCGATGCACAGATATTCGTACTGACCCAGTTGACATCAGGAACTCACTCCGACGCAGGTGTATGCTGCAAAGGCTTTTCTCGAAAGGCTAGAAAGGGATCCGTCCTATCAAGCTACAGAAGTAGACCTTGTCCACGAAGAAATTTTGGACACAATCTCATCTATCCTCGCATGCTCTTGGTAAGAGACTCCCTCTGCCTTTGTCACACGTGCTTACGTTCTCCCCCTGTAGGTGGACCCGTGTATGGACAGTTCAGGAAGCCATCCTACCACTGAGGGCAATCCTACTCATGGGTCCGGTACATATCCAATGGGAAACACTGGTGCGAGCCGCTCGGAACTTCATGGCGCAATTGGAACAGAACAGTCTTCAGCACCCCCCTGCATACCTACACGTCATGCTAAGGCTCTATCAACAAGTGACTGTCATTGAGTGGATCAGGGAGCTACGATACTCCAAAGAGCATCTCAAGCTTTCATTCCTTCTTCACGCATTCCGATCCCGACTATGCACAGACTCGAGAGACAAGCTGTTCGCCTTTCTCGGTTTGGTTTCAGAGCTGTCAATATATGCACGAATAATACCGGACTACAAGCTGAGCACATCCGAAGTGCTTGGCACCATCTTCGAAAAGCTTATCCCCCTCGAAGATAACCTAAATCTGCTTGTCAGACAAAAGGAGGGAAAACGTCGTCTGAACCTGCCTACCTGGATGCCAGATCTGACCGCTGAGGTCGATCCGCGACAAAGCGACCTCCATATGTATGTCATGTACAACCTGCCTCGCTTCTTCAATGCATCGCACAGAAAGCCTCAAGGGACTCTTCAAATGCCTTCGTCTCCATGGAAAGTTGATGAGAGGTCCAAGTGCCTGAGCGTCCAGGGTCTGCCCTTCGATAAGATTCTTGAGGTCAGTCGACATGATCCGCAACGGCTTCCTCTGAAGGACGAGGAACATGTCGAGTTCTTACAAACTGTCCTCAACGATTTCAAAGACCCGAAAAAGGTGTACGCCCGTAATCGTGGTCTACCATACAACCTTTGGTGTCTAGTCAACTTTGATCAAATAGTGATAAAGCCCCCTGAAGGCACGATCTCGGTCCAGATTCGAACCAGAAAAATCAAGCCTGACGACTACTTCGGACACACTCCTCCAATTCAGCCTCTAGGAGTCATGGCGGAGTTCCTTCCGTTGTTCTCGTGCTTTACAACCGAAAAAGGCTATATTGGTCTTGGTCCTCATGATATGAAGGAAGGAGATGATGTATGTATACTGCTCGGGGCAGATGTGCCGTTCGTGCTGCGGCCGACTAGGGGGGGAGAGAAGCACGAATATGTCGGACATTGCTTCGTCCAGGGTATCATGGATGGCGAAGCACTGGAAGGAATTGTTGTAAGTCGTTTGAAGCATTTGCACATAGTCTGACAACAGAAAGTCCATGTTCATTTATAAATCTGCAATCTGAATTTTTGCAACGCCCTAAGCTTCCTAGAAGTCACATCTAGTTTTGTTCAAGTCTTTTCTTGAAGGATTGACGTATTATGGTTTTCATATTTTCAGTCCCCACTCTCCCCTCTATCTGGTACATTAAAACGCAGTGATCCAATAGAAGAGGAGGTGGAGGGGGAAGGGGCCCGTAAAGGGATATATACATGGTTCAATTCATGTGCAGACCATGAATCAAACCTTCACAGCCACTCATAGCTCTCAAAGGTTTTTGCCCTCTCGAAAGTTGATGTCACCACAACCACAATCCTTATAGCATCCTCTTCTTTTGCGCACACACCCTTTCCCCTGCCTACCTGTTAGCATCTGCAACTGTTACCACGAGCTTTCCCTTGCTAAAGCGAGTGTTTTGATATCCATATATTGCTGGCTGACGACTGTTCATAATAAGGGAATATGTATCGCCTAAGGAAGGGGGCCCCAAAAGATATGCAAAGCACCGATACCTCACGGGCGAGTGACCGAATTTTGTCAAGACCCCACCAAACTTCACACAAATCGCGATGTCTCAACGCAACAAGAATCAAAACGTCTCAAAGAAATTGGATATGTAACTACCATCCAAGCTCTTAAATAAGACGCAACTCTTACTGTGCCGTGCGCTGCAACAATCTACAAGGTGTCAGAAAAGCACACTAAGACGACGACGCGCTGGACCGCTCTCGAGACGCGATTGCAAGAACGACTCAATGAGATCGACAAGCACTGAAGAGCTAGTGATCTTCCGGCATATATTGAAGCTGGAACAGCGAGGATACCCGCTCCAACTTACTGATTTGGAGGATATGGCCAACTCACTGTTCGTGGAGCGCAACCAACTAACTGTTGGCAAGAACTGGGCTGGCGCGTTCGTTAAGCGTTGCCCAGAGCTCACAGTCAAGTTCAATCAAGAGTACAACCACAAGAGAACCCTCTGCAAAAATCCTGAGGTGGTCCAGGGCTGGTTCTGCCTGATGAGGAATATCAAAGCCAAGTATGGCATCCTAAATGAAGCCACGTACAACTTTGATGAATCTGGCTTATCATGGGCGTTATATCAACAGGTGCTGTTGTCACAGCCTTTGAGCGTCGCAGGCGATCAAGGACAGTGCAACAAAGCGACTGAGAGTTGACCAGTATCATTGAGAGCATCGACGCAATGGGATGGGCTATCCTGCCCTTCATCATCTTCCAAGGCAAGCACCACCTCTCCGCCTGGCACAAGGAACCGATCATACCTGACGATTGGGTTATCAATGTGTCTGCAAATGGCTGGACAAACAACGAGCTTGGATTGAAGTGGCTGAAGCACTTTGGCGAGCACACAAAGGGGCGCACTGCTGGCAGCCGTCGCCTGCTTATTCTGGACGGCTATGAGAGTCGCGACTTAGTCTATTTCCACTAACACTGCGAGAAACACAAGACGTCTTTGATCAGCTTCTTGAAGTGTTTCTCCTCGTATAGCGCCCACTCGCTTTCTGACGCAGCGTGCTTCCGTTTTGACGCTTGATGCATAGCTTGCGCATCTTCTCATGTAGAGACTGGCCCAGGGCATCCATGTGGGCGTGCACTTCGAGAGCGGCAAGGTTCGAGTCATCCGCTCCTACGAAACGCTTGTAATTTGCAGATCTTTCCTCGGCATCAGCGAACAGCTCCAATATGTGACCCAATACTCTCACAGCCTTGGGTATATCTTCCTCCTGGACTTTCGCTTCTTTCAGCAATTGAGCGTTTTTCTAGGTCACTGCTCAGGCACACAGCTTGACCCCAGCGCAAGAGTTGCAGCCTTGCATTTTCCAGCTTCTGTAAGCTAGTCTGGAAGTTGGTGCCAAAGCTGCGGCCAAGCTGGACAAAGCAGTTGACGGAGTTGTTGAAGAGGTCCGCAAGCGCAACGACGCCGACGGTGAGGATACCCACTTCCATACCTAGGGCCGTTCTAGGTGGATAGGAATGTGATGTGATGGATGGTCAAGGTCAACAGTCCAAAGAGTCATCAACTTGTCGAGAAGCGAGTCAGTGCAATATATAATCCAGGGAGCGTGGACATAATATGGGAACGCGACCCAGATGTCCTCGTTAAGTTATGCTCTGGACACGTCAGGTCCGTGCTATACCAGGAAGGAAGGAACCTCATACGGATCTCTCTAGAAGATATCCTCCGTTTCGGGATGAGAGGGATGAACTGGGAGCCGTAAGGTTCTTGCTTCATAAAAGACAGATAGTTTTTCGATCAGTATCTACACAAAGATCGCAGGCAATCCGCCATTATCGAAATGTAAATCTGTAACTATGGCTGGTATCCTGTTGGAACACGATGCAGATGTTGAGGGACTGGACGATGAAGACAACACTCCGTTAGTCAACTGCTCCGCCATTGACATTGCCAAGCTTCTACTCATTCACAATGCCGATGCTGACGCACACAAAACCGGACAAACGGTGCTCAATACGGCTACGAAGCGAAGAAGGAGTGATATGATTACCCTCCTCATCAAGGAAGGCGCGACGACTTGGTCTCTTGATAGCGAGGCCGACAGATTCATCGAGAACCTGTTGAAAAAGCATTTGCAAAGAAAGACAGGTGTGTTGTCTGATGTCTTCCTGATCAAGACGTAGCTTACAGAGTCTGAGTAGGTACCACTTTCGAGGCGAGGACACTGATATACGGCATCTCTTGTGTGGCGGCGTGGGCCGCTGTAGGATACTGATAGCTACGGTAAACAATAATGTAGGACTATCGGGTCGATGGAATACTGCGCTGCGTTGCGATCTAGTGAGAAGAAGACGACTATACACTGACTCTGGAACGTGCTAGTCCAGAACAGTCTAAGCAAGGGTAATAGGGTCTTGTATGGACCGACTAGTACCGCAACATTTTCCAAGAAAGAGGGTTTCCACAGGAACTGTGCCATCAAGGAAACCCTACGGTCAGATCTGGAACGGATACTGCTGCTTCAGATCCTACAATCTCCCGTCTTGGTAGATTGTCAAGCCGAAATGATTGGACTAAACATAGAATGGGACGTAGGCCTTGATGCAAAATATGCAACGGATAAGGCCAGCGTGGCACCGTGACGAGCATCTTGGCGAACTGCATGATCCAATGATGTGCATTGAATTGATGCTGAATCCCGTTCTCGTTAGCGCTTACACTGACTTTGCTAATCACCTTCCTCCGCCCCTCTGCTTCATTGAAAATCAGCTGTGAGCCTTAATTGCTGTACAGTCTCTGTAACAACATCGATAACGTGACCAGGTATTCATGAACTTTCGCCTCCCTGAATCGTCGGTAGTATTCTTGTAGAAGTTACCTTAGATGAGGACTAGCTACGCTAATCAATGCAGGGACCCCTGTAAGCTGAGTATTATGTTTGATGCGCGGACCGAAAATAGTTCGTTATGCGCTGGATCTATTGCAGTCGCTCTACAGCGTCATAGTCCTTTGAATTGTCAGTCACGCTGACTGTATCCTGCTGTCCTCTATTCACCATTCCTCGACCTGCACCCTCCCATGCTTGTAGTGTCCGGAACCGTATGTACGCTGCACTATGCGATTGTGATCACTCGGAGGGCATATTCGTCGTCGCCGCGGTGTCGGACTTGTCGAAGAGTGAGCTGCACATATGTTTGTACTGGTAAGATATCCGTGAAGATAGCTGAGACTTCAACCTGCCTCGCTTCTTGTATCACTATTGTCGTCGCCGGCGTATCGCCTGCGTTTGGAGGCCTTGCTCGGCTCTGACTGGATCGTGCGAGGCGTCGGAGCGAAACCCAACGTGGGGGGCAGTATGCGCGGATGGCTTGACATAGACGCCGAATCATATTGTGATGTAGTGCTCGGAGTCGGGAGGATAGGGTAGTCGCCGAGGGATTGGCTTGCTGCAAAGTCGGGCAGAGCAGTCTTGATCGACTGCAATCTTGGACCGAGAGCCCAGTCTCGCACGTTGCGAAGCTGCCCGCGCAGCTGCAGCATGGCATTGTAGTCGCGCATCGAATGGGAGGACACCAATTCCATGTAGTGAGATTGGCCATCGCGCCAGTGCATCCAGAGCTCGCAGTGTTCCATGTCGCAAGTAACTGAGACATGGTGGGTATCGACAGCAGAAAGCGGCCTTTTGTATGCTGCAAGATAGAATTCGTATAGGTAATTTACGGCGACAGCACCATCGCGGGCTGCCTGGTTCTGTGCATGGCGGAGGGTCTCGTTGGCATTGGCAGCCTTGTACTGCATGGTGAGGAACGGGAAGTGGAGAAATTGCGAGAGCCGATACCGATCGAGTATGGCCTCTTCGTCTGCGGTGAAGGCAGCGGCACAGGGCAGGCTGACTGTCTCGGCGTCGCGGCGAGTCACATAACCGGTACAGACATCAGGCTGAGGTTGTGAGAGAGCCTTCCACGTGGTGACAACAGCCGGGTTTGGGGCTGAGGGCAAGAAGAAACTATGCAGCGCAAGGTCTTGTTTTGTAACGAGCAGCGGGTCGAGTGCGAGTCCAGGGGTGCCTTCGACTTCGCCAATGAAGCCTAGGAACGGCGCAATCTGCGTGATGCCATTGCGCTCCGACTGCAGCGCGGCATTTCTGCGGCGCTGGACCAGCTGCTTCGCATTAGGCGAGGGGACCGCATCGAGTTCGCGGGGAGCCTCGATGACAGTCGAGATGTGCTCAACGAGAGCAGCAGGAAGGTCGCAGCCGCGGTCGACGTTAATGCCGTATGCTTCGAGCTTATCGCGCCGGTCGAGACTGTTGTCGATGCGCTTTGGCGAGGGAGTGCGAGGCATCATGGACGCTTGGAGATGGGCGAGGTTGTCCTCGGTGAGAGCGAGGACAGGGCTGTCGAGACTGTCTAGACTGGCGCGCAGGCGTTTTGCGGGGTGGCGACCGCGATCAGAAATAGTCCACCGGCGTTTAGGCATGGAGTGACACAGAGTTCGCGTCGTGGTTATGGGCGATATTAAGTCATGCGTGTCGGAGTAATGCTGTTATGATGGTTTGTTGATGCGCTGTCTCCGTGTTTGGGGCTGTTGTGCTAAGAGCCCTATGACGCGCCGCTCCGCACCATCCCGCAAGCGTCGTAGTAGCTGTGCATAGACTGCCATCCAACACTATTCCATTCCTGGATATTCATACGATGGCTCCGCCCACGGATAGGATAGTTTCATGGTGAAGTATCACAGTTCCCAGCAGCAATTGATTACAGATAGATTCACTATACATAGACAGTATCACCTTGATTTTCCCCGAAAGAAAAGCAAACCATGTAATTGCACGCATTATGTTGCAGTGAATGCAATAAGTGAAGGTGTAACCGCGCAGGGCAGTAAGTCAGGGGTAACCGCGCGAAGCAGTAAAATCAGTATATTCTGTTGTTCTGTTGTTCAGTGTTATGTCTCTCTCACTCAACCCCCAGCGGGGTCTGTTTACATGACGTATGTATCTCGTGCAGTCAAGAGCAGGAGGTGCTTGTTGGAAAGAGCAGGTGCTTGTTGGAAAGAGCAAGAGCACCAACACACGTGGCACACATGACCTCCATACTCCATAAACCGTCACACATTACCTCGCGCTGTTAAAGAGCCGAAAGTTTCCTACTGTGTCTGTGCGCGTGCCGCCCGTGTTTGCGTGCCGCCCGTGTTTGCGTGCCGCCCGATCACCATAAGCTACACCTATACCTCAACATATCGCAATACAACAACCATGCCTGGAATAAATGATGCAATCAGGCAGATTAATAATTTGAATCTTGGCAACAAACTTTGCTACCAGAAAATTGCTACCAATCATGGTGTTGATCGCACAACTCTATCACAGCATCACCGAGGTGTTCAGATGGATCAGAAGACCAAGAACCTCAACCAGCTCAAGGTCAACCCACAACAAGAGGAGGAGCTTGTACAGTATGTTATAAGCCTTACTGAGCGTCACTTTCCACCTACAAGAGAGATGATCAAGAATTTTGTACGTGGAATAGCCAAAGTCAATGTCTCTGAGACATGGGTCACTCACTTCCTCCACCGTCACAAAGATGTACTCACCAATCGATGGACCTCCCCTATGGCTGCCAATCGCCACGCTGCCGATTCCTACGATAAGTACAAGGAGTACTTCGACGTTATAACACGCAAAATCACTGAGTATGGGATTGAGCCTGAGCACACATACAATATGGATGAGAAGGGCTTTGCAGCTGGAGTCGTTGGCAGGTCAAAACGAGTGTTCAGCAAGGCTTCATATATGCGTAAGCACGCTCGGCAGTCACTCCACGATGGCAATTGTGAGTGGATAACCCTGTTGGCATGTGTTTGCGCAGATGGTACAGCATTACTGTCAGGCCTCATATATGCGGCTGACTCTAAGAACATACAATCAACATGGGTGAGCGATATGGATAAGGAGAAACACTCAGTATTCATTACAGTCTCTCCCTCTGGCTGGTCAAACAACGACATAGGGTTAGCCTGGCTTGAACAGGTGTTCAACCGCTACACTAAGCGCATGTCACGGTATCCTCTCCAGATCCCCTGACAATATCCGGATCCGCTCTGTACTGTCCCTGACCATACGCACCAAATCCCCAGCGTCCTTACACACCTCCGAAGCAGACGTACAACCTCCGGTCACCTCCAGAACAGGCCTGCAACCTCCAAAGCGGGAGTATTAGGATTCTGCAAGCCCTGCTCCGGGACTTGCAACCCCAATACCTATCCAACTCAGTTCCAATTATTAACCGGTAACCGAACGAACCCACACGTAAGTATATAGACTATTGCTAGTAGAGTTCTGTTCAGTACACAACGTCTTGTACCTACTTAGATACCGTACGTAGTAATTGATTTAGACTCCCAGCGAGTCCTAAAGGGCCTACTCGTAGCATCTTCGTGACAGCGCAAAGCTCATGGAAAGCAACGCCTATTAATACTAGATGGTCATGGCTCCCATATAACGATGGATTTCATCAAGCTCTGCGACAAATATCGAATCCTGCTAGCTATCTACCCTCCACACAGTACCCACACGCTTCAGCCGCTTGATGTAGTATGCTTCAGCCCGTTGGCATCAAACTACAGCAAA